TGATAAGTGATTGATAAGAGAATTTAAACCCTGACAAAAGATGAAATACATATTATCTTTATAGATTAATTTTATTTTTTATGTTCTTATTTTATCGTGTTCTATAAGTTAAAGTTGGCCTAATGGTAAATGTATTTTGTATTTGTTCTAAAATACTATTGTTTTATCAATCTTTTTATAGGCTATTTTAATCTGTTAATGTATCATCTTAGCCTATTGTATGTTTATTTTGCTCAGAGGGTTTAGAGGATACCCACATCATGTGATGGGCTCTCAGTCCATGGTGTCCTCTTACCACTCCTCTGGATATTTTCTAATTTGTGATTTTTGTGGCGAATATATAATTAATAAATGAGTAAATAAAATGGTGAAGTGAAAAGTTGTCACATTTGTATGCTCTGTAATGCTGGCTGTGTTATACAAATAATAACATAATTATGATGATGATGATAAGACGATTATGAAGATGATGATGATAATTTATATAGATCACAATGTAGGGACATTTATGCATTTGTAGAGTCGGTATTAAAATGGAAATAAAAAACAACATACTGGAAAAAAAAAACAGAAAATGGAGAATCTTGGAGAAATCACCATTCACCTTTACTCTAGAGGGCAATATTCTCAAAATTTTCTAACCTCAGCCCCAACCATGATGGGCTGAAATGGTGTGCACCTTTCCGCACCAACTACAGCCAAATCCTGCATCCGCCCCAGACTATATAAATATTAATAAGTCAGAAGAGGAAACTAGGAATATGCTCAGAAAAGTCAAATATTGTTGTAATACATTTATTTTTTTTATTATTATTTATCTCTTTATTTCAATAACTAAATTTTTTTATATGAAAAATGTGATGCTTATTTTATAGCACTATTTTAGCATGTCTGTTTTATCACCGATATCCCGCTTTTTCTGCTATTAATTCTTCCCGTATTTCTTTTGCTTCTTCTGAACTTCTTTCCAAGAAACCTCTATAATCCTCTGGATCTAATTCCCGCACTACTTCAATTCCCATTGACAAGCACGATCCTATGATACCTGTACAAATCCTTTCTAAAGATTGAATCTGTAAATTAGGATCCTCTTGTTTTACTTTTGCAATCTCATAAACATGTTTTAATGTTACCTTTCCAACACAATGACTACCTAAAAGAGAACAAAATTGATTTTTTTTAAATCTTATTTATGTATTTAGCTTATCATTGTCATAATGCAGTTCATTCCTTG